CCCTAGCTCGCAGAGACAGCCGCGCCCAGGCGACCTACCATGTAGTAGCCAGGCAGCAGCTTCTGTAAGAACTCAGCCTCTTTGTGCCGAACCGTTTTGATGATAAACTCGTCGTCGCTGGATACGTAGAAGAGGGATCCGCTGGCCCCGGAGTTTGAAAGTTCAATGAGGGGCTCACTGCAGAGCGAGTACTGATGAGGACAAGGTGGGAAATGCAGAGGTGAGAGAGACATCAATAGGAAACTTCAGCGCAAAGGCTCTTCCTTTTAAACATTAACAGAGGCAAACCCCAGGGTCACATACAGCATCCACTGCCGTGCTTACAGAGCTTGCCACGGGGCCTACAGAGCTCCACAGCTCCGAGAGGGGGAAGAGGACAGACACCCGCCCCACAGAGTACGCAACAAACGGGAACCTGGTCCAACGACCAACTCACCAGATAGTCATCCGGTCGGATCCCAAAGAGCTCCCGGAAATAGCGAAAGGCCACTGGAGCATAGGTTTTGAACCGAAAGTCGTTGTAGTGATGAGCTGGGGTCAGGTTACTCCCTTCACTGATCAAGGGGAGAAGCACACACAAGTATTTGTATTTGAAACATTTCTTAAGAAACTGCCCTAAAAGCAAACACCCACTGGCTGGCTGCTTCCGACGCATTGGAGGGCTAGAAAGCACCCACCCAAAAGGGACACGCGTAGGCACACACAACAGCAAGCCTGCATTTGTTCACACGACCGACAGCGGACAGGTACAGGGAAGAGCCAGGCTTCTTCAGAAACAGGTCGCAGGCCGGAGCCAGAGCTGGTCTGTAAGCAGCGCACCGAGCAGCTCTGCTCAGGAGGCCTGTGCTCGCTCCCGCGCTCCACTGTCCCGGTTTGGTGCAGCTTCCTCATGAGCAAGCAGGGTTAGGAACTAATGCTGCTGCTCGCTATGAAAGCGAGAGAGAAGAAAGCAAGCACTGACCTTGGGAAGAAAATACTTTCTACTACGTAGAAATCTTGCATGAGAACATCTCTTTCGGGTTTGGTGCTCAAGCTTCCAACTGTGTGTGTAATGCCCAGCTGAATGGCACCTTTCAAGGCAGATGATGTCGTCTGGAGGGGCAGAGAAAGCGAGTTAGACAATGTGAAGCAGCAGACTGGAAACAGGAATGAAAGGAGTTAAAGAAAAGACAGCTCCCAGTTTAAAACAGCACTGTTAGCCGTGGTATTTTACACCTACTGGTTCCAGCTTCCATCATTTCTTTCTCATTGACTAACATCGCTTTGGCAATGGCAACACCCCTACATCCCCGCTAGCACCCTATTCGACATTTGCACTCCGGGTGGTCGAGCAGTAAAGGACTTGAACTGGAATCGACACCCAGCTGGTCCTTAAAAGGACTGAATTTCCTTTCATCCCCCCAGCACTCATCTCTACACCCTGCAGTCAGAGGGGGAAGACATCCAGGGACAGATTATCTCGTGCCCCTACGATAAACGCACTTCTTGACACCTTGGTCTGCCAGGTCCTGGAATTACACACTTTGAAGCTTGCCCCTTCCCAGCCTGGGCACAGACTTGGGTCTTCCGCAGGACAGGGCAGGCACGGCCAGCACACAACGCACACTTCTGTTTGGTGCTGCCGCATTCCTCCATCTGCCTCTTGCTCCGTCGTGGCTCTTTAGCCCTAAGGAGATCACTGTCGTTTTTAAATAAGGAGCAAAGACACGAACCCCGCTCCTGCATCCTCTGCACAAACTGTCCAAGAACAATGTCCTCCTCTGTCTATGAAACACATGACCTCATCTCAGACCACCGAGACGTGCTTCGGTCCAGCTCGTGCTACGGGCTGTCTTTCCCAGAACAGCCCAGATGAGATCTGCTCAACACCCCGATGTTATATGGCGCAGCAGTTCCTGGAGCAGAGATATGAACTCTGCTGCAAAGCCCGCTGGAAATGTTGAGGCTGCAGAGCAGGTGCAGGTTGGATTTGTGCACTGCAGCTCACGGACATTTCACTTGGCTTGTACATAAAGCAACTGGACCCAGAACAAGATCCAGGGCTCACAATCCAACCAGTTTGTGTCTGTGCCCTTAAGCTAAACAAAGCCCAGCCCCCTGCCACATGCAAGAAATCACTGTAGATCAAAGCATTTGGCAACAGAGGACGCGGCAGTATCTGGGGGACAAACATTTCAAGCTTCTTCCCCAGGCACACATCCTCCATGAAGCCTTGTAAACTGACCAGCAACATTTCTCCCCCTTCCCTGTTTTTCTGTTATCATAGCTGCAAGAGACCTGCTCACGGTTCCCTGGAGAGCAACAAAAACTGGCAGGAACTCCAGCTTGTCAACAATGTCCTTTTCTACTCCAGCTGCCCCCTTCTAGCCGATATTTACTTCGGTATTAGACGGGGAAGGAGGAAGAACTTGACTCCGCTTTCCTTCCTTACCCTCTAAAGGCTAAGGTTGCTTGAAAACAGCTCTCTGCCCAGCTCACCTAGCCCTGCCTAAACTCCCCGGACAGCCTCACTGTTGAAAAGCAGAACTTACCAACACCACGCAGCAATGCTGCCTTGTTTGTGAACACAGAGCCACGGGGCCAGGTTGCCAAGGAACAAGTATTTTTCTCTTCTATTAGCCAGCACGATCAGCTGAGCAGCTGAATGCCTGTTTACAATCGCTCTTACATGGCAAAGAATTTTAAAAAACAACTTACCACCCCGGAAAAGGAGGGGATGGAAAACAGACGAACTGCCCATGGGTCTCATTCCCAGATAAATCCCATGCAGTGTCCCACCAGGTTTCTGGGACCCTCGCAAGAAACATTTCAGGCATTCTCCATTGGCTTCTACTCTTCTCTCCTGTTACTGCTGCCTAACTTTATCTCTAAATTTCCTGGGAAACTGAAAGCCAGATCGCAATCCTGGAGACACAAGCGATTTCAAAAAGGGCAGTATAACAAAAGCCAGCTTCTGTGGAAACACCCTTTGAATTCCTCCCTTCCCCTCTGCTTCCCGACGGAGGTACATGTGAATTAGAGATTTCGGACCAGAAGCTTCGCTGGCGCAACGCAGTGAAATGCCCGTACCAAGCCATTACCCATTTAATCTACATCCTAGAAGTCAATCTCACTTCAGGGAAAGTCGGCCCATTCTGATCAAGTCCAACAAACTGGAAGCAGCATCTAAATACCCACATTTACAGGCTTTTTAAAAATACCCAAACAATCTCCCCTTTGTAAAGCAAATTCCAGCAATGCCACAAGATCTATAGAAACTATTGTGCCCGAAGAGCACAGAAAGCACCCAATAAGCCAGAAGAGGCCTAGGAAGTGTTGCTAATGGGCAAAGTTTAAAAACAATCCCCGCTTTAGAAGGCTACAGAAGAGAAGCCAAGAAGCGCGTATTCAGTCCCTTGGTTCCTTTCCTTTGAGATCTTCTTCAGCGACTGTCGCAGGCGTTACCCGCTGTCGAACACCCAGCCTCGTGAGACACCGCTGCTCTGGGCAGCGCTGGCATCGCAAAGAGGGGAATGACAACAGTCAAATGAGTCGTGCTAGCAGCAATTACCTTTTTGTAGGTAGTCTCGCCCGTGGAGTCCACTCCTCTGTGCCCTTTCTTTATCGTCTGTGAGCCTGGCTGCCCAGAAGAACCCGGCATCTAGGATTGGAGTAAAAGATGGTAAGAACCAAGGATGTAAACCCCAATGCCTTAGAGGTCGGTGGCTGCCCAGAACCACTGGCAGAATTTTGGTGTTCTCAGAGGTGGAGCCTGTGAAGTGCTGAAGCTCCAGGTCCCTACACACGTGGAAAGGGAGGACACGGTACAGCCTGGGCTCCGGGACAGCAACGGCATTGAAATGCCTTTAAAGAACCCACTGACTCCTGTGTGATTGAGGCCAGACATCTAATTAGGGAGAAACACCTTCATGCAAGACCACCTGGAAGGGTTTGCTTTTTTCTGATCACCCTCATCACAAACAGACCAGCTCCAGGCAGGTCTGGACCCACCGCAGCTGGTCACCGTGCTTTCTGCCATAAGGCAGAGTCTTTGAGAAAACATTTTAGGAAGGTGGCAAATTCTGCTCTGATTCATGCCACAAGAACTCGCTTGACTCATCGTCTTCTAACACACGGTTGTTAAATGGTGTTTCTCAGTCAAAACCAGTTGAACGTCTTGCTCACAGCAGCAGATGATCGACGTGGTGTTTTGGTGGCAGGAGAATCGTTCAGTTTCAGGACAAGCTGGGTTTTCTGTGGAGATCCTCTTTGTAAGGAGATGCTCCCATTTCCCAAAGGAGTATCCACAGCTTCCTGTACTTACCACTGCCTCGTTTACCCCTAACTTGTCTGCTACTTTTCCAGTCTCACTCAAGTCTGAACTTGGGCATTCTCTCAGCCAGGGAACAAACCAGCTTGTCGGTCAGAAACTTACCTCAGGGGTGAGCGATTTTTTGAAAGTAGATGATCCTGTCAAAAGAAAAAAGCCCCACTCAGAAAGGGTTAATCATTATTATGCATCACAAAAAAGCCTGACGCACCACACCGCCTTGGTTCGACCGTTTTAAGGCATCTGAAAAAAGCACTGACTCATGGCTGATTTCTTCCCAGCCTCTCCTCTTACAGCAGAGAGAATTTTTGTCAAGCCACACGGAAATGCTATTTTGGCTCGCCAGCCAAACTCAGCTTTGTGCCGATGCTATCGGCTCGGGCCTGCTCTGCCCCGCTCAGCTGGCTTCCAGCTCTCCTCTGGCTGCACGCCGACGCGCAGGACCACCTTCAGAGGTGGGATCAGCAACCTCCCTGCCTTCGATGGGGTTACAGGGCTTTGCAGGATTATTGCCATCTATTAATTAGAACTGGGAGGGCCAAGTGCTCTGCAGTGTTTCAGGAGACGCGCTGACCACGCTTTATCTTAAAATTATTTCCAGGACCTTTTATTAAAAGGCCCAGAACATCAACCCTTCCACTTGAAGCCAAGCCCGGGGATTTTCTTACTACCATAGTGCAAAATATCTGCGAGGTGATGCACTAACTTTTATCTTTTAGGCCTGGATTCCTGTCTTGCATTTTTTTTGGATACAGTAAGGAAAAAAAAAGCAATTAGGTGACACTGCCCCTCTGCGATGCCTGCACCACAAAGCCACCAGCCAGGCTGAGCCCAACACCAGTGAGGCCAAGAGCTCCCAGGACAGGGACGCTGCCCCGGCCAGGCAGATGCATAACGTAGCGATGTGCTTTCTGCCTCCAGCCCAGAAAACCAGACAAGCTCTTTCCTTTTGTTTTTCTTTCTACTTCAGACACAGCAACAGATTTTTTTTTTTTTACGTGGGAGCCACGATCACAGCCTTATAAAACCACCCCCACCCAAAAGCAACACCCCCATCGTACCAGGGAGTAAGCGCAGGGTTGCTTCCCCCGACATCCAGTAATTGTTTTCCCAGATGAAGCATTACGACATGCAATCCTCGCAGCGGTTCTGGGTCCACCCACCGCTCGCTCAACGGAGAGCCCCTTCTGCTCGCCTGTTACAGGCGGTGTAAAGACTCACGCTGTGACTTCAGCAAGCACTACAGCTCTACAAAAACTGCACATCAGCAGAAGGAACAGAGGTACTTCACAGCAAAATCCAGCAGCCTTCTGATCCCCTTATCGAATGATCAAAGTTCTCATTTCAATACATATTAAACAAGCAAACAAGAAGAAGAAAAATCTCACGAATGCTTTTTGCTAAACAAAGCGAGCACAGAACGACTGGCTCCAACCGCCTTCCCACCCCCTCTCATCCCCTTTAAAGACGAGAAAGTTTGTCCCGACAAGCTCTAATTTTTGCGTTTGAAGTTTCTCGCAGCTGGCTCTCCTCCTCCTCCTCCCCGGCGCACTCGGGGCTCTTTGGAGCCGGCCGCCCCGCTTCACCTCTCGGAGAATCACTTAGGTTGGAAAAGACCTTTAAGAAAAGACCCTCTCGCATCCCTTCCCAAACCCGGGCCGGTAGCAAGGGGAAGAGCGAGCACCTCCACCTAGGAGGAAGCCTCTGTGACTTAGTGCGTTACGACGAGACCGATAAAGCTTGACTCCATCACCTTGCCGCAAGGCTTTTGAACTTGCCAAGATCCATCAGGACACAGGGACGGAGGAAACATCCCGGGCACCACAACATAACACCTGTTCAATAGCAATTAAGCCTTTTTTTTAAGCAGGTATCTGTAATTATGTACATCGAAACCTCTAAAAGCCCTGTGATTTAAGCAATCCTGAAGCAGCACCGCCAGCCTCCTCACCTTGGAGATTTGCTGCGTTAATATTTAATCATCTGTGCAAAACCATATTCCACCAGGATTCAACTAAAGCTCTCTCACCAGAGGACCCAGCAGCAAATCTCCTCTGCCCTGCCTCGATCACACGTAACAACCATTAAAAGCGAGACTGTACAACGAGCCTTGGCTGGAAGAGCTAGCATCCCAAGGCGCAGCTGGTTTGTCCCCCATGATACCGTGGGACAGCTTTATCTTAGAGGCGTCACCATGATTTTAAGGAAGACGTACAGCACCTCAGCACAGACCAGAGCATCGGCTTCACCTTCTCCTCTTCCCCCACCGTCCCGAGACCACGGCGTCTCGGTTCACCCTTTCACGTAGCGATCTGGGAAGCGACAACAACGATCCTCCCTCTCAGGCCGGTTACAAGAAAGGGTGAGTCAACAAGGGAAAGCCGCAGCGTGTGGTCAGAGCATCGCTCCGCTCCCAGTGCACCCAGTTTCCGTGGCAGGAAGCTCCCCCTCCCTCCCTCCCTCCCGCTAGTTTCCAAACGAGTTTGCTGCTGGTTGGGAAATAGGTAATTCCTGTTTGACCAGGACAAAAAGCACTTATTCACATCTGAGTGCAAGGATGAACATGCAAGCTGACGAGGTCTGCTCAGCTCCAAGGCCGGACTGAAGCTACGGACAGGTCTATCGCGCGTCCTGCGAAAACAAGCGCTGTCAATTACCGAAAGCGTTACTGGCCGAGGTCAGAGAACAAAACTCGGAGGTTTCCATGTGAAAACGTTTCGGTTACCTCCACTTTTTTTATTGCTATGTGAAGGCAGTTTGTCTGTCTGTCCCACACACACTCTGCTTGGAGAAGTGAAGGTGTTAAATCCAATGGCATAAATGTAACAAAATGAAATTACTTCAAAAACGGTGCTATTTCTAGATCTGCTTAAACACCTCTGAAATGAAAGAATTCAGTCATAATTCTGACCCAGATTGACAACTGAAAAAGTGGCTTGAGACCTAAACGGTTAATTCTGGCCAAAGGAAACCGATCAGGGTTAGAAAGTCCTGTCCAAAAACGAATTCACGATGTCCCAAGAAGTTTCCTTTTCTCTTTCCTTCGTGATTCTGGGAGCAATCCCGACAGGCGATTTCAGAGCATTCCTCGGAGCTGTTTACTGGAAGCTGAATCAACCTAAATAAATAGCTGTCTGCCTTCCGCCAGCCTTAGCTGTCCGGGATTATTTTCAGGCAGCAACAGGTAGTATACTCTTACCGACCGTGAAATAAACACTAGGGAAAAAAGCTAAAAAGTTGTGGTGACAGCACCTGGCCAGATGGTTCGGACAAACATTTCACTGGAAGGAGCGCGTAACGAGGCATTCGGGTCAGGTGCTCACTCGTCTAGCAAACGAGCATGCTAATTTGGTATAGCCAGGACAAATACTCGCTTTGCTCTATTTTTAAATAGAGCTGCTCAGACAGATTTTAGCTGCGTCTCCTGTTTTAGACTAAAATAAAAAGTGAAAACGTTAGCACACCCAAACACATCATCAAGCTCAACTCTCCGGCGCCTGAGCAGGGCAAGCCGAGCGCCAGGACACATCACACCGGCATGCACTGCCCTTCCTCCCCGGCCCTGCTGCTGACTGCGGGCTTTATCTCGGCCAAACAAGCGGCCAGGGCGAGAGAGGCAGCTGGGTTTTCCCCAAACAGGTCCTCTTAATGCTCAAAAATGGGAATATTCTCCTTCCTCACCTGGACTCTGCCTGCAGGCAGCGGCACCATCGATAAGAGCACTTCTGCACACGCAGAAGTCGGTCCAGGACCAAGCCTTAGACCCACCGAACACGACCTGGAGGACGCGTGGTACGTTGGAGCCTCCGTGGACACATCCACGTCGCTGTCCGCACAGAAATCCCCCAACACATTTTTTTCTCTGCCTGCAAATCCCCCCCCCAACAGTCTGTTGGGATCAGTCCCCCCCAGCCCAAGGCCACGGCTGCAAATGGGAACAGCAGCGAGATTTCTTTTCTTCAAAGTGCAAACCAGGCAGAAACCAAAGCAGAAAAGCCCCGCTGGAACAATCCTGCTGGTGCGCACAGGGATGCGGAGAGCTGTTTAGATGTCAGGAGAGCGCTTACACAACACACTTCAATAAAACAGCAGCTTTTGTTGAGAGCGGTAGCAGCTTATTTAGGGGAAAAAACCCACCGAGTTTTGTCAATCCTCAAAAGCCAAGACAGTTACGTGAAACGGCATTTTGCTGCTGGTTACTGGAGAGGAAGAAACCATGCTTTTTTTAAGCACATATATGCAATACATCTACCTCTTCGAAACGACATCACCGAGCAGCACAAAAAGCTGAAATCTATACGAGGAAAAACAAAAAGGTTATACAGTTGCCACGGTGAACTGATACTTCAGCTACTTGAAGGAACGAGAGATATTTTTCCCCAAGAAAGTTAAAGAAACACGAAAAGAAATCCTGTTTCCACAAGTTAAGACAACAAAGGTCGAAACTCAGCAAGCAAAACCCTCCTGAGCAAGGCACCTCAGTCACGCACAATAAAAACCTTTTCCGCAGCGCTGGAAGATAAGAGCCTACATATTTCATTTGCTTCTCTCAGGAAGCGCTTATGGAAAACCGTAGAAGTCTGGCCTGAAGTAAGAGTCAAAGCCAACGCTCTTCATCAGCTGGAGATGGAAGAAAACCCGTGAGATCACGCAGCCCGCCCCTGCCAGCGCAGAACACGGCCCTCCAGAGGAAGATAAAACACTTACAAACACTTGATCTTGGCCAGAAGGCCAAGCAGTGAGTAATAATTTTGAAATTCTCTGCATCAATAGATTTGTTCCGATAAATCACGTTAAGGACATTAAACCAATGGCATCAAAGCTGCCGTACGAGAGCTCATGAGCTCAGTTTCTAGATAAAGAGCTCGTGCACGTTGTAGATTCCTGTTGGGGGTTATCTTTCCCACCACTGTTAGCAGCCGGCAGCTGATGTACGCATGACTGATTTTACTGCCCTGGATTACCACATCTTCCTCCCTCTCCCCTACGCTTGTTTTACGAGCCTGTTGATGGAGGACGGGACACTCCTGAAAGTCACTGGATACCGCTGACGTGTCCACGCCGGCAAGCGGGCGACGCGTTGGGAAAAGGCCCAGTCTGTAACGCTATCTCGACACTTCTCGCTGCTTTGCAGAAACAGTAAACCCTTCCTCAATCTCTCTTCACCAGCAAGCTGCCAAGCGCTTTGTGAGGAGGTCAGCGTACCTAGCCACGGAGAAATACAGCAATTCTTTAATCCAAGAGGCCGGGGCAGAATTAAGAACAGGTTTCCACGCACAAGGTTACCAGCATTTTCTAAGTACCCAGAAGAGAGCTGAGGCCAGGCATGACATCTAGAAATCAATTAAAAACCCAAAACAAGCAACTCCTCCGCCTTCTGCAGAGGTGAGCAGAAGAGAACGCGCCAAAGAGGATGGGGTTTGGGCTGCCGCCTCCATCACCTGGAGGTCGGTCAGCACGGGTCAGTGCTCACACCAGCAGACGAGTGCTGACCTCACCGAGATTCTGGATCCACCGTTTGGGGCTTATCCCAGCGATTCCAGGAAAGACGTGCTTCACGGCAACTAGCTATTTGGGAGCTCCAATCCAAAACCAACACAACTCACCAGGGCTGGGAAGAAAGCGCTTTTCCTTCGTGTCTCGTCAGCACAGCAGACCTTGACCAAAGATCAGTGGTCACAAAAGCACCCTGTCTAAATGTGCGTGGAACCACGAATACATCTTGACTGACAATGAGTTACTCTCTCCACTGAAAAACATTTGAAATAAATAAAAAAAACTCCGAGTCAAATAAATGAGACTTAGACGCATGATGTCTTCAGCGGCAGAGGATGGAGACAGCCCACGGACCGGTAGGCAGATGGTAGAACTAAAGGGTGGAAACTCTGAAGACAAAAAGGACAGTGAGCGAGAAGTTTCCAGCATCTGCTCCTGACTCCCGGCCGTATTTCTTCCCCCACCATCCCTCTCCTGAGAGCAGCCCTTTGGCCAGAGCCATGGCCTCCTGCTCCCCCAGAAGTACCAACTCTGGGGTAGAACGGACACGCAAACTCATTGGTCCTCATTATCGAACCGCTTGGAAGTCAAAGAGCGGCACGGAACTGCAAAAATCACAATTAAAAGAAAATAAATCAGTGAGCAAGTTCAGCAAAGTTACCTTCAGCTTCAGGGAAGCGGCTGGAAACGAGGCACGTACGAGCAAGGGCTAACGCGGTCGGGCGAGGCGCCGGCCGGCGAGGATTCCTGTTATTGCTTTTCCATATGGTTCATCGCAAAACTATCTCGGGGGGAGGAGGAATGAGGTTATCTCAAGTTTCCCAGCAGAAGAGGGGGCAGACTAATTTTTGCTGAAGGCATTTTGGACAAAGCCACTTTCTGGAATATTTGAGGGCAACTCCTGCCCCTGTAACCTGCAGAAAAGCTGGGGAGACCCTCCTTCCCTACAGCAGCATCTTCTGGCACATCAGCTTCACACAAGGTTCTGCCATTTGGAAATTAATCCTACCGCTGGCCGAAGACCATCGATTTCACAGCTCTGCATTACTCCTCCTTTCCACCAAAACACTTTGGCGATTTAAAAATTAAGCCGATCCCCACTCCAAGATAGCAACGCCTATTCAAGAAACACAAAGGCGCCGTGTTTTCCAGGGTGTCGATGAATTTAAAGTCCAGCTTTACGGCTATCGGGAGCTACTTTGGGGATATGAATCCTAACGATAAATGCTCCAAGCATTCCTTTTCCAGCTGGCTCTGCAACCACCACCAAGCCCCGGGAAGGGACTTGCTCAAAACCGACCCCAGAGGGAGCTGGCGACAGGGAAACCAGAATTAGCACCCTGCCTGCTGCACCACCTCCTTAATTTGGGGGAAGATAAACAATCCTTTCCCAGAAGAGTAAGATTTAGGTCAGATGCAAGGTATCTTTCTGCCCTGGGAGCACTCCGCTTTTTAAACAAGGCAGAGTCTGTGGGGATGCAGCGAGATAATACATTTAATCACCGCTATTACATAGCAATCAAGAAAGGGCAAGAATGATTACGATACTTCATTTAGGGGAAAATGAAGCCCCGATCCTGAAGAAGGAAGCTCTGGGTGAGCAGAGGGAAGCAGCGCAGGTGGCATTAATTCACCCCCGTCTCAAAAAAAAAAAAAAAAAAAGAAAAAGGGCTTTTGAACCCTGCAGGACTAACATGGGGTGGCAGGGAGGAGAAATAAAACACCGAGCGGCCCCTTTCAACGATACACGGCGGAGCCCGAGCGAGGGAGGAGCGGCTTTTACTTTCCAAGGGGAAATTCAGTTATAAATGAGGAAATGGTACTCCAGGTCATCGGTGCCCCCCCAAAACCGCACGATTCTCACTCGCTTTCTAGCTACTGCTTCGCCAGATGAGCTTCCCTCCACCAGACAGAATTTGTCATTTATTTGGACAAGCTGGCTCCTACCTTTGTTCTTCCGACGGTCATCTTTTGTCTCCACCTTAAAGAAAAGGAGCTTTGCCCCGCACCAGGGTGGGCATCACACACAAGCACAACTCCAAAAGGGACGGCGAGAGTTTGGGCAACAGGACGCGGCTGACGATACCAACCTGCGACACCCACAGAGATTTCACAGTTGATGGTGGGGAAGAGGAGAGATTTTTATAACGGGACTTGGGAGTCATTTGACGGTCCTATTTTAAGCTTGAGGATGATGAGCCACTCAGATGTTTCTATTTAATAAACTCATCTTCCCCCCTGCACACTCAGTCTCGGCTAGGTGGGATCACAAAAGCTTTGTCCCTTTGGCAGGATTTCGGGGGGGGGG